AAAGAGAGGATGTGACAGGAGGGGTCTGATTTTCCATTGGATAGCTCTGTAATGAAACAAAATTGAAGGCTATAGAAATTATGGTTTGAGCAATAATGATTTTATAGAGAGTAATTTACATTTAATTTCGTACTTTTTCGAGGGATGATGGATAAAATAGGGATGATGACATGCTAAGAGAAAATCTGTCACGTGGGTCACACTAGTGGAAATTAAGGATTTTTTTTAATATTGCCTTGTAGAATTAAGAACTTAAAACTTGTATACTATTAAGTTATGAATTATTAGCTATTATTGGTATAACATAAACAAAAAGTAGTTGAATAAAATTTTGAATGTAAGACACTAAACTTTGTGTCATGTGCAGTAAAGGATACCTGTGGTGATAGGGTTAACTGGATACTGTTGTTGTCTTTCATTCCTCAGTATGACTATGAGTGGATAAGTTTTTCTTTCAATTTCCTTTTACCTTACACTGACCATATGCTTCAGGTTGGATCCTGCTTTGTGGCAAGTGGTGCTTCTCCAGGTATACTATTCGGTTGATGAACCCCATCCTACTTTCTCCTGGAGGTCTGGTCCCAGGGCATTTGGTTTTGGATGTGGTTTGAACTAGCCATCAAATCTGCACTGTATGACCTTCAGGGTCTGTAATGCCCACCATTGAGATGGAGTGTTCCACAAAACTGCCAGAAGGTTCATCCTCGCAGTACACTGCAGTAAATATGCCTATACAAGACTGTAAACACATGCATGGACTATCATGAGTGAAGCAGAGAACAGATTTCTGTCCATTCCTCCACTCCTGGTTGAATTCCTCAGGTTTGGCCTACTTTTCAAAATAATATCCCATGGTCACTCGTTACACTTTCTCTGGTAATGCTTTCCTCTGGTTTCCTCACCACACTATTCCCCTTTCTTCTAGTGAGATATAAGAGTTCTTACCACTTACTAACTTATAGCTGCTGGGGGTGGTGGACCTTGGAGTGTGCTCAATACCATTAATTTGAGAGTGGAGCTCTGCTGGCATAGCTGGTGTGTACTCTTCTCCCACCATGGACCAGATATACAATTCCAGATGCCATCTGGTTATGGACTAGATGAATCCACCATATGCTGTTTACCCCTCTGGCTGGGAACCCTTCTTCCTATCGCCGCCATGATGTTGGTTCCTGGGTGTGCTGGTGTTGGCTGAGCTGGGACTTGCCCTCCTTCTACCATGGACTGGATATTCCCAATGCTGCCTGGTTTTGGACTGGAATTGACCTTCCACTCTGCATTCTACCTTTCTACCATCTCCCGGATGTCAGGATCCCAGGTGTTGGTTGTGTACTAGGTCTGCATGCATGTGCTAGCCTGGGTTTTTGGAACAAAGTCCTCTTTCCTTTCTGATTTCTTGGCCTAAGTTGAAGACAGTGGGGGACCCTCATCCAAATGTGGCCCAGATGCTCCATTTCCAGAACTGCCTCGTTTTGGACTGGAGTTGACCCACCAATTATGGTCTGATACACCCTAGCCAGTCTACACCATTCATGCATCCAATTTCTTGGATGTGCTTCATTCCACACTTTTTTGCAACATTTTTCTTCACAACGGGCAAAGGGTATACCTGATACAAATGTGTTGCCATTTCCCACAGGTTTGACCCCCATCCTTTGAGGTTTCACACTCCATGGGCTCTGTCCAGATGCTAACTGAAAAGATGCTCATCAAGATAGATTTGCATCTGTTCCTCCACCATTTCTATGTGGGATTCTAGCTATTGTGTGAGAAGAGGTAAGGTATTTTATCAGGAGTTAACATTTTTCTACACTGAAAATGTATTTCTGATAGATATTTACCTCTTCTCACACTTCCCACCCATCCCCCCCTCTTCCAGTGCTTACTTTTTGCCTAATCTCCAAGTGAAGATTGGGTTTTACAGTGTAGAGAGAGTCAGCTTTGCTAGGAGGACGTGTCATACTCCTGTTGGTGGAGGGTTGTTGCATGCTACAATGTAGTTGTGCCACATGCAAACACATGGAGGTAGGTGGGAGCAAATGGCTATTGGCGAGCAAAAATCTGCACACATAGAGGGCAGTGATCATCGAGAAAAGCTATTATGTAAGCAGAATTAGGTACCTATCACAAATACGTTTTCAGTGTAGAAAAATGTTAACATTATTTTTTCATATACATAGGAAACAGAATAGCTCTTGTAGTCTTTTAAACCCCTATCAAACTATAACAGTATTGTTCATTCAAAAAATGTAATATAAATTTAGAAAACAAACTACGTTGTGAGTTTAAATTGAGTAATGCTATTTTACATGAAAAAGAAAACAATAAAAAAGCTTGAAAATGGGTCTTTTTATTATAATATAAAATGTGAAAATTACAACATGTGTTTAAAGTTATCAGAACTGTTCCAGCCGGTAGTAAAGTCAGGCTTTATCAATACTCTCAAAGAATTAGATTGTGTTGAGTATTGTTCAAACAACTCATTTCTTGTTAAGGAGATAGAACTTAAATATGACTATTCTTAATCATGAAATTAACAAAAGAAAATGATTTTTACTTGACAGCATTTAATGTAAAGGTGTATTTATTCCAATTCATCTCAAAAAATATTTACATTTTTATTAAAAATTATTATTGGCATAATGATTTTTTGAAAATTAGTTTTTTGAAATACCTTATTATTTGAATTGAATTCTAAATGTCTGAATGACTTTGCTTACTAATGTGGTACAGTTAGAAATGACATATGAATGTTTCATTTACTATAGTTACTCCATTGGGTTTTAAAACCAGTTTTTCACTAAGTTAGGTGACATTGATAGGATTGCTGGAAGTGTTTTGAACTGATGTAGTATTTATCAGAAATTGGTCAAGAAGTATTATTTCACTGAACAAATGTGTCAACTTTCTCTCGAACTGAACATGTTTACAGTAAATTTATTCATTCTTTCCTTGTCACACACAAATTGGGAAGTTTCTGAATGAAATGATTTTGCATTTAGACTACTTATCATGTGTAATTTGTGCAAATTAACCCTTTCCAGATGCGTCACGGGTGAAAGGCAATGTCATTCCCGTTTGTTGACTTGCATTCAAAATTTTATTGAACTACTATTTCATGAATTTATGTCAGTAAGATTGGTATCAGACTGTAGATTATAATTTAAGTTTTAGTATTATACATTACTCAATTTCTTGATTTAAAAGTAAGTATTAGAAAAACACAGT